ACTTACTGTGTTATATTATGATAATATTTTTAACTTACAACATATAACTACATTAAACATAAATATATCAATTGAGAAATATTTTTATTTTTCTAATGAATTTTAATAAATATTATTATTTATTTTTATTATAAAAATAAATATAATTTATTTATTTCATATATACAATATGGATATCAAATCGAAGATCATCAAAAGATGATTAATTTGATATATTATATATGTAAAACCGATAAGATATACAAAAGTTATCAACTTTTAAAATACATTTATAATTCAATAGCTTATTGAAGGAAACAAATTAAAATTCAGGGATATATTAGTCACTTAGTGCCTCACTATGTAAAATTACAAAGAATTAAAGGGTTATATTAGTAAAAATGATATTAAAATACCTAAGTTAGCTAATAATATTTATGGAATACTCGAACCTAAATTATTAATTATTAATATATCAATATTATTTATCCAAACCTAATTACGAAGCATGATTCTTCGCCACATAGGATTTCGAAGCATCAGAAGCAGCCAAGTAGACTCAGCGCATTCTGAAATTATATATAGGGAGGATATTAACTAACCATTAGTGATGTTTGTTCACAACAAATGAAATATAACATATTTGTAGATTAAAAACTCACAAAAATTGTGCATCTAATAATTTTAATTGAACAACCACTAGTTTATTAAATTAAATTATTCACAATAAACTAATGACATAAACACACATTATAAATAAAAAATAATACCACATAAAAAAAATTATTTGTCAAAAACGTTCACTTTCATATTGAGAATCTAACGCATATATTACATATTTATTAAAATATATTTATACAACCAATCAATATACCTTGTTACCAGAAACAATTGTTCATTGTCATTATACAGTTTGTCTTTTGTTAAATTTTTCTAATTAAAAGTTTTAAAGTAAAGTAAAGCAAAACTCGAGCCGATTCCAAACATTTGTGTTCGGTTGTCGACCCAAGTCGAGTCTCGAGCAAGACAGTATCATCAAGCTTTAACACGAGTAAGAAAGGTCGAGTATCGACCCGATTGGACTCGTTTATAACCGTAACAGTGATAATGAAATTTTATGAACTTTTTTTCACATGGAATGCGGTTTTTTATTCACAATTCATGCTTAGTTTTATGGATGAATAATGATCATCAAATAAAATGAATTACAAATTATAACATGGAAGATGAATAGGAGATTTGGACCGATGTTTAGGCTAATGATGAAATAAAAAAAAATATTCAATTGTGCTAAAACTATATGATAAATCATAAAAATATCCATAAACCTTCAATTGATTAAAATACTGATCCCTAACCCTTACTATTTTGCCAAAATTAGTAAGTTGTCAACCTCTAGGTCGTTGCCTAATCATTTTCTATTTTTATAATATTAAGATTATTATTATTATTATTATTATTATTATTATTATTATTATTATTATTATTATTATTATTATTATTATTATTTTGTCTATATGCAATTTTATTTGGATAAGAAAACTATTATTTTAAAACATTTTATTGTTTAATGAAGCAAGATATTGGGCCAGGCCTTCTAACTGTGATGGGCCCAAATCTTTGCCCATGTGTTACTCCATTTCTGTTGGGTAGTTTTTGTCATCACATCACTATTTGGTCCATTAGCTTCAAAGCTCTCACCATTACAGTAATATATTTTTTTTTTTTTATTTTTTTATATTTGGGTTGGACATATAATTTTTAAAGAAAGG